GATAACTCGCCGGAAAACTCCGACATCTCCTTTCAACTTTTTTTTACCTCTCTTCTCTCACATCCAATACACCAAAAATTTCTTCCACAGAGATTTATACCTACAAAAAAAAGTGTGTATATATATATATAATTGTATAATTTTAGAGAGAGAAAGTGTGTGGAATGTTTAAGTTCAAAATGATACTAGTAGTGAGTTTCTCTCACTAAAATACAGTGATTTGGGGAGTTTGTTTTTCTCTCTCTAGAAAATCTGATTAAGAGAGAGAGAGTGAGTGAGTTGTGTTTTAGCTGTGTTGATCTGAGATTTGAGTACACAAAATAATATTCATATATTTGGACTAGTGTGACTTTGAAATGCTATTTTTTCAACTTAATTTGACTATATTACCCCTTCGTTATCGAAGAAATGATTTTCTAGTCTTTTACGAAAAAAATTATTTATATTTTTATGTAGGTATAAACATAAATGTACATTTTAACTTGATTTCATTTCACATTTATGTCATTTAACCTTTTGGTGTGTACAAATAGACACTTAAACTGATAAAAAACTGAACAAATAGATGCACACGTCATATGTGACATCCTACATGACAATTTATGTCCTACGTGGTGCTCTACGTTTATTATATCACATAGGACTCATATGTTTATTTGTTCAACTTATACAAATTTCAGTGTCAATCGTGCACACCCAAAGTTTGAGGCCAAGTTAAAGAACACATTTATGTATCTTAGTATTTGGTATCAATACTCGTGCACCTCGACTATTTTTACAGGATATCTATTACCTTCCTTCCATACCAAATTACCTTAGTGTTTGGTATCAATATTAAGATTCGATTAAATTTAAACTCAGGCTGAAAAGTTTTATATTAAAATTAAATCGCGTTCTAATAAAGACGACATTATATATAAGACTAAAACTCAAAATTTTAGTAAACTTATATAGTAACAATAAAAATCTTTTATAAAAAAGCTATAAATTTAAAAACAATATTTATAAATAACCTATAAAATCAATTCTCCATGCAAATACAACTAATATATTTGACAAATCTTTTGAAATTTGACTATAGTGACCGGTATATGACTTCATTAAATTTGAACTTGGCTTTTGTTTTTAACATTTTGTACCAATAATAAAGTGGTCTTCTTTTTTTCTTTCACTCAAAATTTATATTGAAATTTAACTAAATTTAAATTTGTGTTAAAATTTTTATACGAGTATTTTTTATTTTAGAAAAGATAATTTTGTATTCAGAATTCAAATTTGAGATTTCTAATTAGGAATAAAAACTACTTATTATTCCATTAGAGTTCTTTTGGTACTACACATAATAATATTAATATTTGGCAAATATGTTTAAATGCTTTTTTGGACTTGATTTGACGGTAGTGCCCTTCTGCTTGACTTCATTAAATTTGAACTTTTAGTTTTTGATTTCTAAATTTTGCAATAACGATAAAGTTTGTCTCATTTATATGTATAGTCAACATCAAAAGTAACATAATTCCTCCTAAAAATAATTTTAGAAAATAAATAAACCTTCAATATTATAAATAATAGGAGAAAAAATTGACTATGGATATAATTTATATCGAATTCAAATTAATCGAACAAATAAATTTTGAATACTAAATGAGTATACCAAAACAAAACAAGAATAAACGTAAACCCATTTCAATTTTAAAATTTTGTTTTCTGTTTAGCTAAGAAATCAAATTATACTATACCGCGTGTAAGAAAATAATATCTTTCAGTTTTTTAAAATTCGATTATATAAAAAAGATGTGCTTGGTATGATGGAAATTCATTATTATTATTTATTTAAAAACAAAATCAAACCAAATGTAATCGACCAATCAAATAAAAAATCTATTTTCTTGCAATTTAATTTAATTTCAATTTTTCTTTATCAGATTATAAGGATTGTGTTAAATAAAAGGGGACACCTTCTTCTTCTTTTTTGTCTCAATTTTATTTTTATTTTTTAAAAACACATACCAATAAAGATATCAATATTTTGTCTAGCATGCTTTCAGTCTCAATTTTCAAGACCAAAATATAATTATTTGCTAATTTGTTGTGTTGTCACTTTCCTAATTATTAGCTTCCCCATACATGAAATGAAAGGGCAAAAAGTCCTCAAGCCCTCAACTCAACTAATCCCACTAATTATGCCAAAAGATTATAAATAATACTCCCTCCGTCTCAAAATATTTCTCGTCCTTACTAAAAATATTCATCGTTTCATAAGCGTAAGACAAAGTTAATAATATCTCCACCATTTTATCCTTCGAAATGTTTTTTCTTGAGTCGAGAATCTATCGAAAACATTCTCTCTGCCTCTCAAGGTAGGGATAAGGTTTGTATATAAACTCTACTCTTCCGCCTCTGTAGACTTCACTTGTGGAATTACATAAAATATATTATTGTTGTACCTTTAATAGTAAATTGCTCTTAAAGACTACAAACATCTCAATTGTGATATAAAAACAGAAATAAAATAGTCAAAGACCTTTTTTAATTGATATTTTTATGAGACATGTAGATAAAAAATATATATATATATTTTGAGAGAGGAGAGAGTAGTAATTAAGTAGCAGTTAAAAATCAATAGAATATGAGTAGAATCCTAGGAACTACCTAACCAAATTCCCTTTTTAAATCTTTTCCTTGTCATGATAGTTACTTAAGATAGATTAAGATTAAATTAACTGAATAATTTTGATTGATATGTATATATTATATTAAAAAGATGGACCAGATGATGTGTCAATTTCCTTCAAGTTAAAAGCCTAAAGGTAAGGGGAAACTAATAATTATGAGTTTGAGTACTTTAAAAGAAGAATTAGCATTAGTAGGGTAAGATTTGGACCTAATTATTGTTGTTTAGGGCTAAGTATGGGATGGTTAACTACTTAATTTTTGAATAGATACACATCGAGGTTATAGTGGAATGAATAGGATTCCTTCATTGTTATTTCCTAGAAAACTTTAGGTTTGAATCCCAGGAATGAAAACAATATTAGTAGGAAACGTTTTTAGTAAAAATAAGGTCGAATGGTCAATTTTTTTGATCGCTTGTTAATATTTAGACGCTATTGAATGTAATTATAATATAACAACTACTTAAGATAGAATATCTGAATAAAATGTCCTACAATATATGATATCAGAGAAGTTCAAAACTTTGATAACTCGAACTTTAATATAATGTGCCTTGTTCGAAAATTTACTAGAGACTCTATGTGCGAGTTCATGAAATTCAAACTTTCACAATACAATATAGACATTCTTCTTGCGAGAATTATTGCATTGGAATACTGGCTTCACAATCTAAGTGTGAAATTTTGCTAGAGTTTCAAACACTATGATTAATTTATGATTTTTATTTTTTTATGTGTTAAACTTTAAGAACGATTCATGATGTTCAAATTTTTATAAATAAAAGTTATCGTTTTCAAATAAAAGAGACAATTTTTAAGACAACTTTTAAAAAATTAACATGTATTTTCTCTATTTTTAATTACAGGTCTTAAATTCAAATTTTAATTAGGGAAGAAATTAGGTTAAATAGTGCTTCCTCTTAAACAGACTTTATTACCCATTTTAATGTTGCAATAAAGTGATAGTAATGCTAGTAATCAACATTTTCAAAAATTACGTAGACAAAAGTATAATTAAGTCTTAATTACTGTATTGAAGACTCTGTCGAGCTTTTATTCTCTTGGTTTTAAATTATTTATCGTATTTTTTTAAAAAAATTATAATGATCAAAACTCCTCCTAATTTTAGAAAACGTGTAAAAGAAAATATAACAGAAAATTTGAAACGTACAGAGTATTGTAATACATATTTTTAGAGAAGGCTGCTCAAGTAGTAAACATTAAACACTCTCCACTTTTAATTTCAAGACTGTTAATTCGAATTACAATAAAAGTAAAATATATTATTCCAAAAGATATTTACATATAATCTATTTAAACATTATGGTGCATGTTGGAGGGGTGGGGGTATTGGAGATGCGACAATTAATGTAGAATTACGTGAGAGAATGGCACTTTTTAGTGACTAGAAGCGAAGAGCTCGTTGCACCTTCTTTTTCTGACCTATCTTCTTTTTATAAGCAAACTCCTTCAAATAGTCCTGCACGACTCTCGGTAAGCATGTTGGGGGATTAGAAAAGACCATCTCTTTCCAATAGTATGTAGCTTTAATTTCTTGAATTTGTATGGAGGGCTTACTTATCGCAGTTGAGGGCGCTTGTAAGTTTCTATAGCCTGTTCGAAACTTGTTTTCTCTACTTTCATTAGAAAAATTATTTTGTGTTTTCAAAGATTATTTTTTTTTAAAAAAAAAAAAACTACTTTTTCAAAATTTTAACCAATCAAATTTGAGAAAATTGAAAAATATCATTACCAAACACAAACTACATATTACTTTTAGATAACAAAGGATCAAATACAATAATATGCCATTTAACTTGCCTTCAGCTAAAATCTATGTCTTCCAACTTTGAGTGTGCACAAGCAAAACACTTAAACTTGTATAACATTGAACAATTAAACACATATGTCCTGCACGACATAAATCACATAGGACACCACATAGGATACAAAATTATTAGGCAGGACGAATGTATCTATTTGTTCAATTTTATACAAGTTTAAGTGTCCATTTATGCACACTCAAAATTGAAAGACATAGATATCAGTTGAAGCAAGTTAAATGAAATATTTACCTGCTCAATTTTTTTAAAATATTTTTTTTGGAAAAAAATTGAGAAAGACTAATAGATTTAAAGTCAAATATAAATATTTGGACCTTTTATTTATCAAACTTGCCACTTACCAATCTTTGTATATCACCTTGCATGCAACTCAACTATTCCTTTGAGTACCTGTTACCTCTCATCGTACACAGCTTGTCTAACTGAAGTACCAAAGGCGAACGAGGCTCCGAGGCCTGGGACAACATAAACATAATGAAAGTACATATTCAGAAGGCTTTTTATGTAGATTTCTTTTGCAATGTTCCATCCAACAACTTACAAGATTTTTATAGGGATTTCATAGTCCCTAACACTATTATGTACAAACTACAAACCTCAGATTATGATTATACATCGAAGGGGTACACCGTACATGCCACAAAAAGTGTTCAGTAACAAACTACTTGTGTAAATGGACATCTCGAAGGACTGAAGCAACGCGAAACCTATACAACTAACTAACTAGCAGATCTCTGGATTTTGTCAATTCATCATAACTCATACTATGAGCGAAAAAAAGGGAAGTTTTCGTGCATGGTGTTGAAAATGAGTACCTGATGTCTGTGTAGGTATCATGACTCAACATCACTTTCACTTTCTCGGTGACATGCACAGGGTTCAACAGCGTATGACTATACTTTCAGTCTTCTCGTGTTGTAGTCATCCATATCACAGTTAGATCGAACATTGCATAATGTCAGTCTCACAAAGCATAAATTCTGTCATCAGAGTTGTAGTCATCCATATCAGAGATATTTGCAGAGTGAGACCATGAGAAAGATTTGCTCCCACTTGCTCTTCTGATACGCCTTTGAGAATCGCTACCACAAATGCCAAAATGCTGTCGGAAAACAAAGTAGCACAAGCTAACGAGAGTTCCAATGAGAATTGGTGCACCAAGCACAGTAATAGTGATTGCCATCCACGAACTTTTCCTCCCTACAACAACAAAACCAACAGCTAGGAATGCTCCACAGGTACTAACGCAGGCTGCCCACATCAACTTGTTCACGACTGAGACGATTTGTTTCTGAGCTCTAGTATCCCAGGCAACAAGAGTAATCTGAACAACAACAACAGCGAGAGATATAAAGAGAGAAGTAGCATTCAGGAGGCAGAACACGCGGAATGCAACAGTATCAGCAATTCTGGCCTTTCCTGCTTCGGGTCCAGTCTCCACATATTGGCCTGGCAAGCTGAATATAGCGAGAAAAGCAATAGACGCAAACAAAACAGCAACCACAGTCACAGAGTTAATCGTATTCTGAACAGCTTCCCTATGAATCTTCCTAAGTTCTTTGGCAATACCAGAAACACGCCTTCGGGTCTTTTCATTTTGTATAAGCTGGGATTGCACCTCATGCTTAATGTCACTTACGGTCCTCTTAAGTTCTGATGCTTCATCAAATTGACCCACAAATCTGGCATGTTTTGCACCAGCCTCAGTCAGACCTTCCTTAATTAACAACGCTGAGTCTCCATATTGCAGTTTGTCTGCCAAGTCCATTGCAGTTTCCTTTTGATTATTAATTGCATTGACATCAAGGGATGCGTAAATGAGGAGAAGGCTTACAATCTGAAACAAAGACACATCATGAGGATATGAAAAATAAAAACCAACAAAGGTTATGTAGGAAAATACAAAGATGGTTATATCACAATCATATAAAGATGATTTGGTTCATTATGCCAGTTATTGGGATGCTAACCTTCTTTTGGCATAAACATAATCTTCTTGTTGCTATTTTGTGCAAACTCAAGTTTTAACATGAGAAATGGAGAGAATTAAAATCAGAGGAATTTTCGTTCAACTTGCAAAAGATGATGAGCAATTTGGGCTATTTCCAATACGTGGAAAGGTTAAAAAAAAGCATTATCATTTGCTCCGACACATGTTTAGCACCAAAAGATGTGAGCGCTGACTGTTGAAGCGGACCATATAATTAGAATACTTAAAGTGTCTATACATTGAGAAAGCTAGAGCAAACCCAATTGCAGTATGTGAAAATCAAGGAAAACTTTGTGGGTTTAAGAATAATTCAAATCATCCTTATTCTAAAGGTACATTGTTTAATGATCATTTTGTTGTTGTTCACTCGCTTCTTCATATTTCTTGGTGGAACATTATGTGCATTGTATTATGTGTAGGAATGTATGTATATTATGCATTTTGGTGTAAAATTATACACCATTAGCAAGTTCATAACTAAAAAAAATTACCTAAAAAATAGAAAAATAAATCAACAAAAAGAAAATAGAAAAAAAGAAAAGAAACAAGACAACAAATGCCAGCTCAGCCGCCTCTTCTTTTTTTTAGGATGAAGGTTCGGCCACCTATTCTAATCACCCTTTGCTTCAATATAGCTTTATTGAAATTCAAACACACACCATTTGATGATTAACTTAGCCTAATTTACCAAAAATTAAAAATCCGGTGCACCATACATACTACTGCAAGGATGAATGAAACATCTAGTACTAAACAGGAATGAGAAATGATATAGAAGCTCCTTCTATCACATTCTTTTTTTAAAAGAAAATAAAATGAGTTCCCTCTATCACATTCTTCATGAGTCATAGAATAGTTAAATATTATAGTTACTGTTTGAGCATATTTTTGTTCCATAGGCTAAATTAAAGCTAGTAGACTGATAGCAAAAATGACGCCATTTCTTCCTTCTTGGTGGAGTTACTTTGGACTACTAAACAGTGTAATCAAATATTGAAAAACTTGCACACTTTATCTTCGTATATTTGTTTCCCAAATGATGTCACATATCTTTGTGTGTTAGGCTGGACCCTTCATGAAAAATTTGCAACTTACGCTACATAAATCACTAGGATGTTTTGACTTTTGAGTTCCTTTTCAACTTTGTAACTTCATGATACACTTAGATGATGAAACAATATTACAAGATCCTTATCATGAGTTTTTGTTCATCCCTCAAATTGTTAGCATTCATTTTTCACTAATGTGAAAAACTTGCACTTCCTATCAAGGGTCCCAAAAGAGACCAAAAATTTCTGGGAAGCCGTAACTGTCTTCTGATTGTGTTCCAAAACTATGTTACCTAGACTCAACTATCAATACATACTGGATATGGGTGATTATGGCAGCTTCAATATGCTGATCTCTCAGCGTGGTCGACGTTTTTTTTTCATGTAAAGGTTAGGATTGGTCATTGCAGAAGTTCAGCGACCTCATTTGTTAGAGAAGTCAAGCAGTTCAAACAGCTCCTTGTAACATGGCTTGGCAAGCACCTTTTAAGTTTACAGTCAAATAGTACAAACAATAGTTTTCTGGTAGGGTTCAACACTAGAAAACTTTGTCTACCTGATGTGGCAACAAAAACATGATAAAAAAATATAATTACTTGGACTCCCAAACTCCATAACATGGATACCACATAGTTTGGGAAAGTATTATGGTTCTAAATTCTAATATTTGTCTATTGTAAGTCTTATTCCCACATGCTTTGTGTGTGTAACAATGTAAATGAAGGTCTTAGTTGCCTTTCACTAAAACATATTTCTCTTATTTTATTTGCTCTTTTTCACTTTTCGTCCTTCTTTTATAACTACAACTACTCCCAATACTAGCAGTCATCCTTCCCGGTTAAAATCTAACCCCTATTTTGTACAAGACTCTGCAGCAGGTAATATTTTTCTTTGTTTTAGTTCTACATCATTTTCCCGGAAACCTATCTAGCATAAACCTCTTTTTGGAACGAAGAAAATGCATTGTTCAGGAACTTGAGTGCTAAAGAAATATAACCCTCGACTTCGTGATCTAGAAACGTTAGCAGATCTTCGATGTATTCAGAATAGCAAGTATGATGCTATAACCTTTGGAAAATAAATAGAAAGATACCTGGGGGCGACATTTCCGTGTGGCAATATGCAAAGCTGTGTTTCCCTTCTTGTCACGCTCATTCAATATTGAGCTGTCAGTATCCAACATTTCCTCCACTACAAAGGTATCCTGACCCTTGACAGCCATATGAAGTGCGGTTTGGCCCTTTTTATCTTTGATAGTTATTATATCTGGATCTCGCTCTATGAGTGCTTTCACAATATGCAGAAGGCCATACCTAGCAGTTGTGTGCAGTGCAGTTTTTCCATTCTTCCTAACAATTCGTATGGAGCTCACATCTGCATCTAAAATAGCATTCACCACATCCAAATGTCCCTTGACGGCAGCTGAATAAAGAGGGCTTGTGTTTGAGGAGTTGCATACTTTACAAAGTCCAGGCCACATGGCCAAGAGTTCCCTCACAATACCTGTAAATGACAGCATATGTGTTATACGGTCAAACATCCTCCAAAACATACAAACATTGGACTAGTAAGGTATACTCAAGACGCGGTAAAGGTCAGGGCATAAGAATTTACAATCGAGCATGTCAGCTACTTCTTCACTAGCTCTCTCTAAATTTCTCAAGTAAGGAACAACAATAGAAAAATAAGTCCTATTATCGACTACTGCAATAATGTAGGCCCAAGTTGTTTGAGATTGAGGATTAGTTGATCAATTGATCAGTAATAGAAACACAAACATCACCACTATCTTTAAAAGAACAAAAAATATCACAAGCACCTGGATCCAATACTTGGATTGTCTATGGTCTCAGAAGATCATAGACAAAACCTATTACACAAAACTTAAAATTCATGGTTTTGCTTCAAGATTTCTGTTAAGTTGACCTTATCATAATGAAACATTATAGATACTCTATTTGAGCATTGCATAGTTGATCAACAAAGCCAAGAATCATGATTAAACACCCCCACCCCCACCCCCACCAACCCCACCTAAGGATGTATGTTGGTGCAAGAAGGGCCGTCTGGCCAAACCTGGTATTTTTGGTCCTAACTTTGTATTTGTTAAGAAATTTATCCAATTTGTACGAATTATTAATTTAGAACCTACTAAACTAAAAGTACTTAAATCCTAAACCTATAAGCTTCAAATCTTGGCTCTGCATACTATAGCTGGCATCAAGGACTAAACTTAAAATTCATGGTTTTGCTTCAACATTTCTTTTAACTAAATTCACCTTATCATACCCACCCGTCTCCGCCCTATTTGAGTATTGTTGATCACCAAAGTCAAGAATCGTGATCAAACCCCCATTCCCCCACTCGCCCTCCACCTAGGGGCGGAGCTAGACCATAGCTTACAAGTCGCTTCAACCCAGTATTTTCAGTTCAAACTCCATATTTTTCTTTAAGAAATTCATTCAATATTTACAAATTATTAACTTAGAACAACAAGAACATACCCAATGTAATCCTACTTGTGGTCTGAGAGATAGCGTGTACACAGACTTTACCCTACCTACTAAATTGACCTTATCATACCCATCCAACTCCACCCTATTTGAGCATTGTTGATCACCAAAGTCAAGAATCTTTTGATTAAACCCCCATACTCCCACCCACCCTCCACCCAGGGGCGGAGCTAGACTATAGCTTACAAGTTGGCTTAACCCAGTATTTTTAGTTCAATCTCTATATTTGTCCTAAGAAACTCATTCAATATGTACAAATTATTAAACTTAGAACAACGACAACAACATACCCAATATAATCCCACTTGTAGTTTGAGGGATAGAGTGTACGCTGACTTTACCCTACCTACTGAATTGACCTAATCATGCCCACCCGTCTCCGCCCTAATTGAGCATTGTTGATCACCAAAGTCAAGAATCGTGATCAAACCCCCAATACCCCACCCACCCTCCACCCAGGGGTGGACCTAGACTATAGCTTACAAGTTGCTTCAACCCACTATTTTTAGTTCAAACTCTATATTTGTCTTAACAAACTCATTCAATATGTACAAATTATTAAACTTAGAACAACGACAACAACATACTCAGTGTAATTTCACTTGTGATCTCGGGATAGATTGTACATCCTAATATCCTAAACCTATAAACTTCACTCCCTCCAAAAATCAGATCACAGAATACTAGTACATCAAATCACATGACAAATCAAGAACATAATTCACAAAAACATACAAAAAAAAAAGAGCAAAGAAAATATACCCAAGTGTCCACTTTTTGCAGCAACATGAAAAGCATCAAAATCAGCTTTTGACCTAATCATAGCAGTTTCCAAATTACAAAATCCAAGCAAATAACTCACAATCTCCTCAAAATTATTTGCAACAGCAATATACAAAGCAGTTTCCCCTGCATCATTCTGTAAAGCCAACAAAGAAAATAGATCCAACCCATCATTCTTTATAATGATTTTGAGAGACTCAAGGTCTCCAGATCCAACTGCTGAGAAAAATGATTGATGGGTTATCAACCTCAATGACTTTGAGTCCATGTACACTAAAAAAAATCAATCTTTTAACTTTTTTTTCAATTTTTTTTGAGAAATTCCTATCTGGGGTTTCTCAATCTTGAGTAAAAATTGAAAAATTTGTGGATTGATGAATTTTTTTTGTGTGCAAAATAAAGTATTTTGAGTACTATTGATGTTTAGTAGTTCATCAATGGTGGAAAAAGAAAGTAAACAGTTGAAAATGGAATATAAATAAATAATTGCGGGTATTTTAATTCAACGCTATAATGACTTTTAAGGGCCGTGTGGGGTTTTTTTTTTTTTTTTTCAAGTAGTATGACTTGGGTTACTTTAAAGTCGTCTGGTATTCGAATATTGGCTCGAGATATTTTTCTATCACGAAAAAAGATAGTAATATTATATATTTTTGAATCGATAACCATCTTTTAATTAATTTATCCTTCTTTGTCTTTCAAGACTAACAAGGAATTGCATATAAATTTTCATATGTTATTTATTGACTCTGTCTTTCGATCTGATCTTTAAGCCCAAAATCACCTTTTGTGGATAAATATTCTCTAAACTTGATTAATCCTATCTGCTTATTTGTTTCAAATAGATATTAATAATTTTATGATTCCACTTTGAGTATGTGTAAGGTGAGATATTTCAAAAAGAATCTATTCTCAATATGTTTGATAAATATAGTATAACCTTTGTTTCATTATATAATTAAAGTTAATTTTATAAAATGTGTTCGATATTTGAATTAGAGTCTAACTAAATTCAGACCGCATATTGTAGAGTTGATTATTAGGGGCAACACTTTCGATATGTATTCTTTAAAGATCTTTAATTAAGAGTGTAAGGATTTAAATTATTTCACTGTGATTTAATTGTTTTTTAATTATTTTCTATAGATTCACTATGATATGAAACAACAGCTTTTTTACTTTTACTTTCTTTATTTGATTCTTTGGACTATTAAAATATTTTTAGGAGTTGCATAATGTGTTTTATAGGTTGTCAATGTGTATTAATGTAGAGTATCGAATCTTTTAATATCAATAAAAAGTGATAATAGGTGACTTGATTCCTGAATTATTACATAAAATATTATCAAAAAGAGTGAATAGATTAGCTTTGAAACAATAAAAATATTAACTTTTAAAGTAAAATAAATAATTTCTTATTTATCTTAAAAGAGAATTGTTAAAAAAAAAGTGATCAATATTATTTAAGCTTGTTTTTAAAGTATAAAACGGTCCATTTATTTCTGCATAGGTTTTTTCGAAAAGCCTTACGTTTCCTGAATAAATGTTTTGGTTCCAATAACCAATAAAAGGATTTATTTATAGTAATTTATAACTAACTCGAATATTTTTTTACTCAATTTCAGAAGAAACAAACAAAATGCTCAAAAATATTGTTTTTGGGGGAATGGAGGGAAACAAACCAAACCGAACGTGATAGATTTGATCATATAAAATATGAGAAAGTCATTTCAAATAGTGTAAAATCAATTCTTTTTTTAATGAGACGTATAAAATAAATCATATTGATAAAGATACCTATTAACTACTACTTATAACTTGAGTAGTTGTACATGGATAGTTAATTTGGGGTTTCTGTATTTTTATCTTAGACATTTTGCGTAATTATAAATCATTTCATTAAAAGATAAAAAAAATTCAAAATTAAAAAATACTTTTTAATTAAAAAAAGGTGATATATTTTCTTTGAGAAGAACTATATAGTACTATAGCATGACCATATCATTAATATTGGCTCTTGAGTTAAATGATGCTCAGGATTGAGGAAGTGGTCTTATTGACATGTGAATCCCTTACTTCAAATAGCTTTGGGTGAGGTATGCTAAGCAAGATAGCTCATTTCTTGGATAAGGGGTCTATATAGCCTTAGAATGTTGTCTTCTGGAGCCCTTGGGGCTTTCTATTTGATTCTATCGAAAGGCCCAATGAATTGGGATTTCCCTACTACAATATATGGGTATCAATATAACTCTCAATATATTTTAGGCTCTCTTTTCAATCGCATAAAAAATAAGATTTTACATTGTGGCATAGGACCAACATGCATAACATGATTGGGGACCATCATTGATCGACTATTGATTGTAGTCGCATGTTATTCTATCAATGCGAAAACATTAGAGATATATATAACTCTCAATATTTTTCATGCTTAATTTCTTTTCTGGCGCATAAAAAAATTAAGGTTTTACATTGTGGCATAGGACCAACATAACACAATTGAAGACCCATCATAGATAATTATAATTAGTTCATTTATAATTAGAAAATTAGATACTTTTAATTAGTTCATTTATTGATTTACCTACAAAATCTATTTCGTATGGATTTACATGTTCCCTTTCTATTACATTAGATTGTTAAACTTGATATTTAGTCAAAACCAAACGACGAAGGACGTACTCTTAGCAATTATTATCACTAGCATGATCAATACACACATATATATATATGCAACAAGTCGGCCGGTAAAAGAGAATCAACTAGTTTAGTTCTGATCTGAGTAGGCTCATAATTAGGGAATACCCTAACCCTGGGAACCGGGGCCTGGCCATCCTTCGTTTGCGATCGACGTTCTGACTTTGTTCATCGACAGCTGAATATTTCGATTTGGTTCGATTCATGATCACATCCGCAAACCTTATCCCTGTACCAAGATATTTCTATAATTCCACTTTTCTTTGGAAACCGGGGCCTGGCCATCCTTCGTTTGCGATCGACGTTCTGACTTTGTTCATCGACAGCTGAATATTTCGATTTGGTTCGATTCATGATCACATCCGCAAACCTTATCCCTGTACCAAGATATTTCTATAATTCCACTTTTCTCCTCAACTACCCATTCAACTCACATTTAAAGCAGGTGTCATTAATAAATATTTCCTATATATTACCCCTAGACCTACATATTATATGCTCCTCACTATTATTTTTGCCAACAACTCTCATCCATTCTCTTTGAGTGACACAAACATGATGGGGTGCTCTATGCATGCCTTTGTTTGCAACTATGTTATTCTTGCTTATGGTTCTCTTTGCTAATGGTAAAATTCTTTCTAAAATTTTTCTTAATTTTCATTAGTTATAACGTCACGACTTAACATGTTCGGGACTAAAGCGTACCTAATTATATTTTTATTGTATATATTCTCTTTATTTTCAATTTATATGATATAATTTTCCTTTTAGCTAGCTTAAAAGAGGAATGACATACATTTCTAAAGTTGGAAACTATTAACCATGCATGCACTTCTCATTTTTTAAATATAAATATTATGATATATTTAAGAGACGACTAAAAACAAAAAAAAAAATTCACCCGTGAATTAGTAGAAAAATTGTGCTATAAAATGTGATATTTTCACTTATTTCTCTCTTGAATCAACTCACCAGAAAAATATATGACCAGTAGGCAAGAGATTCTCAGTGAAATTGAGGAAAGCTTCTTAATTTTTTCTTATCATGAAAATACTATTATCTTTTTTTTCTCACCGATTCAATCAAACCATATGTGAGAATAACCAGCTACAAAACATTTTTCAGTGGAATCATAAGTTTTAAATAGTCAAGCATGTACCAAACTATTTACATGTTATAAGCCTTCTTAAAATGTAGAAACTAGAATCTTAGCAGGTTAGCTGCTATAACAGATAAAAGTGTGAAAATCTGATGGTATAAATATTTCTTATATTTAACATATATTTGTGAAGTTTAAAATTAAATTATTTCTAAATGTAGAAATGAAGCCGGTGGAGGCAAGAATTTGCCAGTCGGCGAGCCACTGGTTCAAAGGATTGTGTGTTAGAAGCAACAACTGTGCTTCAAATGTGATTCATATATATTTGGAATACACTAACTCTCCCGGTAGCCTTTCTCTAGGGAAGTACATCGGTCGGTTCGATTTATCGTTTTTCAATTTTTAAATATGCTATATCCAATAACCAAATCGACAAGATATGTTTGATTTTTGATTTATCGATTTTTGGTCCATAATGATTTGATTTTTTGTTTAATCAATAAGAAAATGCTCACAAAATAAATATATGAATTCTCCAATAATTTAGTGCGAAAAGATAATAATGTAACTTTACATAATGCACATAAAATAGAAACAATAGTAATTAACATAAAAAGAGCTATACAAGTGCATATAAAAGAACTAGGACAATAATGTGCTAAATGGCAAGCGTAATAACTAGTAAGGTACTGATATTAATATTTAATATTTATATAGGGGAAAGTAATAAATTATTACCGTCTTAACGGATTATCGATTTTCTCAATATCCCAATATTACGCTCCTTTGCTTCAGTTTTTGAAATTACCTTTCGTATCACATTTATTTCACCAAATACATATATCTAGTATCCTTAAATACATGTATTTTGAATGTATACGATCAAATAAAATATAATTTATTCCAAAAATATTATATTCCAGTGTGATTTGCATGTATTCCGAATACCCTATTGGCTGTTTTGCTTTGTGAATGGTGGGGCTTTACTATCTCAATCATACACCTTCATGTGACTATTTTTTGTATTTATCTGCTTTTTCAGTGTCGGCAATTGAATAATTAAATTAATTTCGTTTTCTTTTGAAAATATATGGTACTTTAATACTCTTCAAATATAAAACAATTTTTTTTAAAGACAATTATTAACAAGAAAACTGAAACTTGTGACTTTCCAATTGGGTTTTAAATCTTATATCATGTAAAAGAATAGTTGGAAGTTGGAACAATAATACAATAATATTTGTGCACTTAGCTTTTCAATTATTTATTGGTTAAAAGTATATTTATATTTTATAATAAATTATTTTCAAACTTTTATTTTATTATTAATAAAAAATATTTATATTTTATAGTCATAAAAATCTATATTTTCTTTCAAATCACAAATACTGTCATATAAATTAAAATGAAAAAAACTTACATAATATCATTATATTGAATTTCATTTTATATATGGAACCTTTACACTTTAGAAATGATTTATTCAGAATACAGGCTATATTGTCTAAAATCAAGAATTTATAAATTCAAAATTTTAGTTTGATTTGTCTCTATCTCCATGATTAAAGAAGTGGACTTTGAGTCTTATTTAACCTCATAAGTTAATTTGTTCAAGATGTGAAGATTGTTCAAAATTATGTAAAGAGTCTACGTGCATTTTCAACGTTAAGTAAATAATTAACTGGGACGGGCCTATATTAAAATACCATATTAAATAAATAATTCTTAAATCTATTTCAACCCTTAAAGTTTACTCAAAAAATGAGAATTACTCAAAATTATATAAAGAATTTAAATACACGCTAACCCCACATATGTGAGACTATAATATCCTTTAACTAAATTATACATCATATAAATTTAAATTAATCAAATTAATAAATTTCGTACCACGACCGACTAAAAAACAAAAGGAAAGGACAGTACTCGTCTGGGAAAAAAATAGTGTACAATGAGTAGTCATTTTCAAAATATGTATGCATCATTAAAAGATAATTAAAAAATATATTAAATGAGAATTGACCCCTAGTATTTAAGATAAATAATTCAACGTACATTAAATTGACAGTATTATTTAGCCTTCTTATAACATAGCACCATCAATTTTATTTTATTTTTAATTTTTATATATATATATATATATATATATAATTTTATTAAAAATCACGAATTCACGTATCTCATATTTTAGCTATAAATTCACCAATGCTTGATATAGGCCTTCCTATCAAAGCCCTAGCTATCATTATCTTCATAATATATAT